CAACAACAACAACAACAACAACAACAACAACAACAACAACAACAACAACAACAACAACAACAACAACAACAACAACAACAACAACAACAACAACACCAACAACGATTTCTACAGTGCAAGCCCGGAACCACCATCGCCGCCAAGCTTTAAGGGTTCCGATTCGGAATCGCGGGGACGGGATTCCCCGGATGTGGCACCAGCGATGGGCTCGGGTTCTCGGACTCGCAGGGATGGTTCGGTTGGCCGTCTTGGTTCGACAAACACAAAGCCAAACAACTTCAACGAAAACGAAAACGAGAACACGAGTACCGCCATGGTCGACGGCGAGGACAACGGCATGGTCCGAGGAAAAAGCAGCGAGGATCCGACCGCTTCCGAAAGGACGGAACCGGCGCCCGCTGCCTCGGGAACGCCTTCCGGAAAACCGGAGACCGGAAACAGGACCTACCGGGAAAGCGAAGGGAGCACCCCTAGCGGTCAACAAAGACCGCCACTGGTGGCCCCCCTCCGATTGTCGAAGGTTCCAAAACCAAAACCGATGCCAGCGCCGGAACCCAAATCCAAGGTTGCTGCCGTCCCCTCCATCGAGGCCAACCCGTACGACGACTTTGTCGGTTCGCTGCAGGCGCAGCTCGAACGCGTAGAGCGAGACATCGATGTGTTCCGGGGGGCATCGTCTTCTGTGGAGGGCAATACCGACAGCAACACCGACAGCAACAGCAACGGCAACAACAAGCCGATCAATCTCAACAGTCCCAAGCAGGTGTCCCAGCTCCTTTTTGGACGACCGGACATGTCGACCAACAAGAGCACGCTCGAGGGAATAGCGGGCTCCAACGTCCTGGCCAAACTGGTCTTGGAATACCGCGACGTCAAGCGGAGACTCAACAAGGTCCTCAAGGACCAAGAATTGAGAGCCGAACAAGAACGGGAAGCCGAGCAACGACAACAAAGCGGTGCTACCCCCCAGGAGTCCCCGCCGTCGAACAAGGCCAACCGGATCGGCGACGGAGATCCCGTCCTGCTCTTCGACACGAGCTCCTTCATTTTCCGGGCCTACTACAGCTCACCACCGATCCACAGGGGCCGCGACGGGATGCCCGTAGGAGCCGTCATGGGCTTTTGCAGCATGATGAACAAGCTGCTGCTCACCTCGATGCTCGGGGGGGAAACCCCGCGGCTGATCCACTGCCTCGACGCCCCCGGGCCGTCCTTCCGGAACGACCTCTACCCCGACTACAAGGCCCACCGGCCGCCCTGCCCGCTGGACCTCGTCCCGCAGTTCGAGCTCATCAACAAGGCCGCGAGGGCCTACGGGATGATCCAGATCCAGGCCGACGGATACGAGGCGGACGACGTGATCGCGAGCCTCGCGACCATGGGCAGCCAGAACGAGGGCCTGGACGTGAAGATCCTAAGCGGCGACAAGGACCTCATGCAGCTCGTTACGGAACACGGCGATGGGGAACACGCTTGCGGGGGCGAGCCAGAAGGCGGCGCGGTGCACGTCCTGGACCCGATGACGAGCAAGCTGTGGAACCACCGCGCGGTCCGCGAAAAATGGGGGGTCCGGGCCTCGCAGCTGGGCGACGTCCTCGCTCTGGCGGGGGACGCCGCCGACAACGTTCCGGGGGTCCCGGGAATCGGCCCCAAGATCGCCGCCAAGCTCCTGGAGGAGTTTGAGACCCTGGAGGAACTGCTGGACCGGACGGCCGAGATCCCCCAGCCGAAGCGCCGGGAGAAGCTGGAAACCCACGCGGGGTCCGCCCGGATCTCGAGGGAGCTGGTGGAGCTCAAGCGGGGCCTGGAATGGTCGCAGATGGAGGCCTTCCACCCGCCGTCCGGCGGCGACGACTCCGACGACGGCGCGGGGGGATCACGGTCCGTCGCGGAGCCGCTCCCGGACACCACGAGGGTCGGCGAGCTGCGGATGCAGCCCATGGACCCGGACCGAATCCTGGCCTTCTACGACGAGATGGGTTTTTTTACGCTGAAGCAGCGGCTGCTGGACCGGCTGGCTTCCGCCGGAGCCGTCGGAAACGCGGCGGGCACGACGAAAAGTCCGGTGGTGAACCGCCAGGGAAACCGCGGCAGTGCCGACAGCAACGTCCAACACCAAGGCAACGAAGGCAGATACGACAACAAGAACAACAAAAATAAAAATCGCCTCGAGCACGGGACAGACAACACAGATGCAAGACCTTCCGCATCGTCGCGTGCCACATCGCCTGCCACCAGCGCCCCCAACGAAGCAACAAAACAGAAGAAAAAAAGCAAGCGCAATTTTTGGGAAACAAAGACGAGGGGGATACCAACACCAGAAGAATTCAAAGACGTTCCCTTTTGAGACCCCATCGAGTGGATTATCTCTAGGACACGAATGATATGTGGCTACGGGTAGGTCGAAGGGTTTGCTGAATGGATGGATTCAGAAACGAGCTTACACAAAGCATCCAAGTCATTCAAAAAATGGTTGTTTTAACTTTAAATTCTTCCTCAAGATGAATTAGCAGTCGGGTATGGTTGAAATTAGGATCACGTGTACCATCGTTTATCCCCAGATAGATGAAGGCATAAGTTGGAGCCCACGGGTGCGAAATATACATCACTTTTGAACTCCTCGTTGTCGCCATAGGCGTCGTCAGAGTAGATTCGATCGGCGATGAACTCGTCCCGTGCTCCATTTAGAAGCGCAAGTTCCAGAGCTGGTTTTGCTTTCATACGGTAGGCTTCGGCAATGACCATGCTGAAATCATCTTCTTCCGGAACTGCTCCCTGACGAGGCTCACGAGGCTTGCCCTTACCGTCGGTGTCGTTTTGCTCTTTCCATTCTTGGTGAAGACGTTGCACTTTTTGCTTCTCTAGGACTACCCCACGCGAAAGGGTCTTGCTGCGTTGGCGACGAGCTTTTCCCTGGGGAAACACGTGTTCGAGGCCCCTCATGCAAAAGCTGGAGTCATTTTCTTCGTGTTCGTAGTCCCAGTGCTCTTCCAACAAGAGCCGATAGGTTTCGGTCGTCGTCGTTTCGGCCCGGCGATAGTCTTCGTCATCTTCGTCAAGGCCAACGCCTTGTTCAACGAGAATCTGTATCTGCCATTGCAACTCATCGCACATATTCACAAGCTCGTCTCTTGAGTAATATGTGGCTGCTATGTCTTCGCGCGGCATATGGTCGAGCAACGAGATCCTTCGCACCCTAACATTCTTGTTGAAGGAAACCATCCGGGGAGATTTCCTTGCATTTCTAACAGGTTTATCGCTATCGGTGTAGATTGTGATCTTTTTCCCTTGCTGTTTTCGTTGTTGCTTAGTCCTTCGGATCTTATTGTCTTTGTATTTACTTGGACCAAGTTCGCTATGGCTTCCATTCTTGTCTTTTGGAGGAAATGAATCGACATTTTTCTTTGGCATCTTTTTGGCGGACGGAATACGTGAAGGCGAAAGCGATCTACCGGATGCCATGTGCTTACCCTTGTGTATTGAATCGCAAAGGCGATGTTTCCGAAGTTCTGATGTTGTAGTTGCGATGGCGACATTAGAATAGAGAGAAGAATTCATCATTTTATATATTCTGGGTTGTGATACCGTCGTTTCGATTCAGGGCTTTCGAGTGAATTTTGCAAATCGTTCAGTTTTGTCTGGTTTAAAATTCTGCGTTGTTGAAATTAGATTTGTTGAATCTATTTCGTGCCCGAGGAAACTCTCGTCGCTTCTGTCTTCACACGATGGACACTGCAGATTTGTTGAGCACATGCCAAAACACATACCTCAGCATCACAGAACCGAATTTTAATCGTCAACGGTCAATGATAGGTTAATGGAACATACGTCCTTTCGATATTACATATGACCATATTTGTTAAATTTTCCCAAATAGCATAGATATAAGTAAAAATATTTTTATCAATATGATTAAAAAAGGCATATATTAAAAATATTAATCGTGATTCTGATGTCACGCAAACAAGGCGCAGTTGCTTGTTATTACGATATAATGAAAAACTTGTAGATACACGAGTACTATGTCATACGGTACTGCACATACAAAGAGAATCAGAATCATGACACTTCCCAAAATGCGTTAGAAGCGGGACTATAACCACCATGAATACACCTCACTGATTATTTCACGAATCATAACGATGCGCGACGATATCGCACCATCTCCTACAGGAACTGGATTACAATCGGAGCCTACTAGTTTAAGGTATTCCCAACGGTTGTTCAGCCGTTCACACTGTACACATTCCTCGTAAGCATCGGTGCGGGTCAATCATTTGTATTACACCAGTACCATAAAGTAGACAAGAAACGATTGGAAGAGCAGATAAATCACAGGAAAGGTTGAGCTTAAAAAAAAGCAACGACGTACGCATGAAGAAAATCTGATCTACAATCATCCTCATTCAAAAAAATTAGCATTCGTCTCTCTTTTCGTTGTGGATGTCATTATCTTCTCTGAATAGTGCTTATTCTGCAAAGGATGTAACAGATGCGAGGCTACTGATGCTATTGTTGCCGCTGCATTTTTTGCTAATATCGCTGTCAGCTTCATCCAATTCGAATCCATCTTTTGGTTCGCCTTCTTCCTCTTCGCCTATCTTCAGGGAGCCGAGGGAGACTTGTCGATACGGACGCATGATGGGGCCATCGAATGGCAAAGTCTTTCGCATACAAGGCCTCTCGCTGGAGCGCAACGATGATGAAGAAATAGAAGACGAGAGAGTAGATGATAGCGATGACGATAACGATGTCGGAGGTGATCTAGCAGCATCCAAATGATTGCCTTCATTGCCATTTAGTTGAATTCTTCTCTTACTTTTTCTGTTCCAACTTGTCTTCGTTCTTGTGGCTGCTGATGCTTCCTCTTGCTTCAGAAATGATTCGCGTTTCAGTTCATATTCACCGTCATAAATTACGGAATTTTGGTTGCCGATTATGATCTTGTCGCTGTTCTCGAGATCGGCACTAGTGCTAGAGCCAACCGTCAGAAACAAGGATGATGTATCATACTCTAAACTATTTTGCTTTATCGCCTCGCCTTCTATCCCACTGGAAGTAGAAGGTTTGATTCCCGATTGTTGTTTCCGATGCTCAACCGTTCTACAGAGCTGTTGTATGGCTGCGTTGATTGTACTAGAGCATAGCCCTGAAATTTTAGTTGTCCCTACTGCTGACTGCTGGATATGCTGAAATGGAAGGTTTTCAACAACGACGACGCCTTCGCCATCCATAGTGCAACAAGAGTTTGTTAAACTATTGCTACAGCTGTTTTGTTCTCCCAGTGATAGCAAAAGAGAGGTTGTTGTTGATGATGTTGGTGATAGCGACGTTGGCGTTGCCATTGCCATTGCCATTGCCATCGGTTCTGATAATATGATTTCGGTGACTCGCCAGATGTAATGATTGATTGATTGGTTGGTTGACTTAGGTTTGGGTTGCCGATCGTAATGAGGACAAAAATATCAGTTGTCGCATCCAATCTTGGCACAAAATTGTACCGCGCATTTTCGGCATGCGAACCGTTTATTTTTGTGTTCAAGTGTCCTCAAGGACATTCTTCAAAAGAGAAGAAAGACAAATAGAAAAAAATAGGCAATTCAAATTGTGGTCGTAATGTACTCTCGAGAACACATCCAGGATGATTCCACTAATCCAAAATAATTCCAGTAAATAACTTTGTTGCGGAAGACCTTAGATAAAGATGTGTCAAGATATTTGTTTGGAAGCAATTGAAACCATTATTTCTTAATTCTACTGCAGTGGAACAAGAACATCCAATAAAAATTGCAAAAAATACCCACTGAATAAAATGAATGTTCGAAGAGAGGTCAAGAATCGGGATTGCAACTGTACAAAATACTAAAGCCCCCATAACCAAGGTTTGCAAGATTTACAAGATTTAGGGGCAGCAGGTTCTTCTTTTCATGTTGGAAAGAAGGTAAAGTTGTGATGGGTACCCGAACGTAATTATGGTACATGCAAAACATATGCTGGAGGACAGAATGAACAGAAGCGAGAAGGAAGAAAAGTGAGGCGGAGTAAGACAACGTTGCTTGCATGTTTATTGATCGGCAGGTACGAGTAGTACTGGTACCGTACGATTGCCACCGACCCGTATGTTTTACCGCTACGACGTCGTAATCTACGATACCGTGCAATATCTTTCACAAACACAACTCCTGACAAAATTGTCTGACAAGCCGAACGGTATCCGTTATTTACCTTGTAGCGTCCTCTAAAGGCTCCAGCAACGACACAACACAAAAGCAACAGATTATCTAGAGGACAGCATGGCAGCATTCCTGTTAAAATCATTCATGATTCCGCACCTTGTACTGATTGTTCCTGCGTTTTCGCTACTATATTTTGCACTCTCCCTACCGAGCGCCGATGCCTTGGCAGCACGTGCATCATTCGACTGTTCTATCAGTGATACTTGGCAACGAAACAGCCTCCATATACAAGAAGAGCCATCTTTGCAGAGACGGAGATATACTGCAGTGAATTTAGCAACAGTAAATGGCAGTGGGGATGGAGCGAATCATTCGAACGATCTCGACAACAACGAAAATGATGGTGTGGAGGTGGCTGGTTCTTCTTCCGCTGTCAGCACCAACAATTCTGGTGTCACTCCAGCTTCGAATGTGGGTTCCTTCGATGATGCCGTCCACAATCGATACGCCTGCACGAGATACAAGCGATACGATGGAATCTACGATGGGTCCCGGAATCCCTCTCCCTCCGATCCCAGCGCGTTGAAACTGGCCGGGGAAGCCCTGGACCTAGCGTGCCGGGCACCGACGGGCTTCAACGTCCAGCCCTACAAACTGCTGATTGTGACGTCCCCCGCAGCCAAGGAACGGCTGTCGAGGTTCTGTATCGGGCGGAACAAGGACCGCGTGCTGGATTCGGATTGTTCCGTCGTGTTTCTGGCGGACCGGGAGGCGATGCGGACCTGGAAGGACTACCGATCGATGCTGGTTGCAGCGGGGGAAGGCGGAGGCTCCTCCGGTGCCGACGGAGGTGGGCGCAGCAGCAACAAGTCACGGCTCGGCTGGCTGAAGCTTCGCGTCCTGGTGGCCCTGTTTTCGTCGGGCCTCCCGCTGCCCAAGGTGCTGGGGGGACCGGTTTCGTTTTTCGTCCGGCTTGCCATGCGGATGGTATCGTGGGTGACTCGTTCCCGACTGGTGGTGCCGACCCTGAGCAGCCCCGAGTGCTGGTCGCAGAAAAACACCATGCTGGTGGCCGCAACGTACATGCTGGCGTGCTCGGCGCGGGGGCTGGACACGACGCCCATGGAGGGGTACCTGTCGTGGGGGATCCGCCAGTCCCTCGGGATCCCGAGGCGGTATACGATTCCGCTCGTGGTGTCCACAGGGACCGCCATTCCACTAGGTGCCGGCGATGGCAAGAACGGCGCTGCTGCGGAATCCGACGACGCCGGAATGGGGCACGGAAACACACCGGAAACGAAAACCCCACGGTTTTCGAGGGAAGCCACAATTTACGAAAACGCGTTCCCGTGAGCGAGCCAGTTTGCAGGAGCAAGTCCGCAATCCACAGAAATTTCTACACTAATCGCAACCACAATTTTGAAGATAGAGCTCCACTATGATCAACAGAGCTGATGAATTTCTTTGCCTGGAATAACAACCAACTTCGAACAAGTAGTGATAGCTGCAATGGCTCTTATCCAGCAGCCCTTTTCTATGGCTTTTACTGACGGTATTAGTATGATTCCAAACAAAAACAGCAGAATGGTGACTTGCATCTCATTGTAAGAATATGGTATTCGTACAGATAGATCATATCTACTACTGTAGCAGAGTTCTTGTATTACACTTTCGTACGGCTACGAAGTACGAACCGTTCCGTTTATGCAGTACTAGTACATGCATACTGTAAAATCTGTAATATTTACGGACGTACGTTCCTACCTATTTCACGATACCGTACCGTATCGTACCAATTTCAAATTTGAGTTTGTACGCGCGCGTAACGCCCATTTTGCTTTTGTGTATGTGTCTGTCCGTAGCCAGTGCGCTTCGATGCCATTCTTTTTTTGAAGGGTTTCCCAGAGATAGCCGCTGCTCCGTACAATGCATATCTGCCATTGGATTTTTTTCGTTCGACAACAAACATCGCGGCAATGCAAGGCAAGACCAGTCTTTTTTGTCTCTCCCGGTCTGTGACGGGAAAAAGTGTTGCCGCTCGTTTTTTTTGTGACTCGAACAAACACGGTTCTGAAATCGATCAGATCACTACAAACCAGTCGTTCCTACAACCAACAAACACTGAGTACAAAGACCCATTTGCATTGCTTTTACATCTACACTAAGAAAATAAAATCACCATGTCGGAAGAACAAGCCAACACCACACCCCCTGCCAGTGAAGAGAAGGAGTCGCAAGAAGAGAGCACCGCCGAGTTCGCCCCTGTGGTACGTTCCGTAAACCGAACCAAATGAAGAAGCAAGCACAATCCAGCGTTGTGCTGTTTCCATTGCGTTGATTTCGTTTCCACAGATAGTACTGGTATTGCTACAGATGATGAACCTTGTCGGTGCCATCGGATTATTTTATGGAGAGAATCTAGGGACGAATGGGAACGCACCTAAGCAGAGCGAAACAAAACGAAACGTCGCATCGGAATGAGAGTTTCGTTGGATCGACTTACATCTCTTCCGAGAAACATGGTTCGAAAACGATTCGTCGATGACAGTGGGACTCGCGTTGCATTTTCGTGCGTTATTATTAATCGCTGGCTCACAACAAACCGTCCTTGGTTTTCTTTTCGTTGTAATATGATTTATCTGTATCCTTGCCACGCTCTGTTGCATGTCGTGCATGCCATGCCATTAAATTGGATTGAAAATTTGAATGGTTTGTATTGCATACTGATGTAAATCAATAACATCCATCAACTCGACGTTCGGCTATTAATTTGACAATTCGTGAATTTCCCATCACGATACGAACTTTACCACGCAACAACCATAACTGAAATGCCATCTGCTATGAACGCATCCTCTCTCAGGTCGAACTTGAGGAAGTTGATGTTGTTTCTGGAGAAGAAGAGGAGAATGTCGAATACACGCAACGAGGAAAGCTCTTCATCTACGGAGAGACCATGCTGGACGTCGGTTCGGGCAACAAGACGTGGAAGGAGCGCGGAATCGGTGACATTCGCATCCTTAAGCACAAACAAGAGCAGCGCCTTCGCGTCCTGATGCGACAGGAAAAGACCATGAAGGTCATTGTAAACCATGCCCTCGATCCCCGCATCAAGCTGGAGCCAAACGCCGGATCGGACAGATCGTGGGTCTGGTCCGCCTTTGACTTTGCCAGCGGGGAACTCGTGGAGACCGTCTTCGCCATTCGGTTCGCCGATTCCGATATTGCCAACAATTTCAAAAAGGTATTTGAAGAAAAGCAGGCCGAGATGCAAAGCATCTTGGACGGTGAAGATGCTGCTCCCTCCCAGGAGGCCGACGAAGCGACCGAGGCACTAGCAGGCCTGTCTACCAAGGAAGAGGAGGCCGCCAAAGAAGAGTAAACCACTCTCCATACAAATGATGCTTGTTGACAATCGAACAAACAAACAAAAACCTAGTACGAGCGGTACCGGACCGAACCGGAAATGAAGCAGCGATGGATGTGAAACAAGGTGGAATAGCAAGCCAAAAAACAATCGATCGTCTATTACTGTCAAGTCTACGGTGTACTGTGACATGGCGAAGCGTTGTGCAGTTTGGTGTGTGTCTTGTTCAGGGTTGAGGTTGTTTTCATTCGACAAAAGTATTGTTGCAACGTGCGTACCATTTTCGTCTAATACTGGTGCGTCACGAATTAGATAGATTACTACTATTACTATAAAAAAGAAAAAACGCCAAACCCAACTTCTGACTCGTGCCTTATTCCGGGTTTAAGACCATACTTTGATAAGTGTGCTCTTCTTGCCAAGCATTATTCAAAGGCGATCCAAGAAAGGAAAGAAGCGTTGCTGTAGGAACGTTTGCAACTTGCATTGCATCTTTTCATGGTGCGTGAATTTTTTGAGAGGCGAGCAGTGAGGTAGAGGATTTACAACTGCGTTCCTCCTCCTTTGAGGACAAACCCTGCTAGAACTAGTAGTATTAGTCCATTGAGACTATTTAGGAACCATCAGTACTAGTCCTAGTGGGATGTTTCATTCGCCACAGAATCAAGGTAGCATTATGGAGGAGTGAAATCTGGACGTGGACCTCATTCCCTTTGAAAGATATTGAAGGGAATTCCTGCTCAGCTCATTAGTACTGGGGAGCGGGTGATGTAATAAACTCCTGTGCTGACAAATAACTGGAGAGGATGGAGGACGCAATGAAATCAGAAAAGTCATAATAGGGGGCAAAGGGGGAAACAAGATTCAATTATAAAAACATTACAACAACTCATCAGTGGACAAGAGGAGAAAACTCATACTGAAACTATTAATCATCCACTCCAAAACTTTTTGTAACAGACAGCATGCAATAAAATCCTTGCTAGTAAATTCCTTGTCTGTGCCAAAATTATGCTTCTAGTCACACCAAGGTACAGCTCTTCCCTCCAAGGAGTTTGGTGGAAGTGCAACCAGCAGGTTATTGGTTGGGCTGGGGAATTAAGTGAAATATTTGCTCAAAGTAGTTTGAATGGTACGTTTGGTTTTGGCAGAGACCAAAGAAGTCTCTGGTGATGCGGAAGGTTTGTGTTGTTTCTTCTTGGAGTAAGCATCAAAGACCAGCCAATCTTGTGTGATGCTCTCTGGTGGTTGTTTACTATGAGGCAAATGTTGAAAATACTGGGTAATAGGGCAAGTGTTGGAGACAGAGGCAAACGAGGCTTTGCTGGCACTTGCTAGAATTGTTTTCTTGTAGACTCAATGGTAATATGTGAGCACGGAAGTAGGTCCAGTCGATAAGAAGGTTTCCATATCTTCTGGGAATAAATGAGTGTGGGATGGACAAGTCTGTGGTTTCAGTGCAAACAGAGTGCTGACTTTCAGTATTGCTTGCTGTTGATGATGTGCTTGCTTCTGTAGAAAGGGTGTGGCCATTGAGATCTTTATTTCTCTGTTCCCATGATGAGATATATTAGGAAGTAAGAAAGAACTCCACAAGACATCCCCCCAGCACAAGTGGGGAGTGAGAGCTGGAATGAAAGTTAAGATCAGTAAACCACTGGAGTGAAACATGACTGGCAAATATGTGGTGCCATCCAATCTCACTCTGGAAATGAATAACTGGGTGAAGGGACACAAGATATGTCTCTGGGGAAACTAAGCCAGTGTCCAGCCATTTGGTCAGACAGCTGGCAAGAGTGTCAGTGGCAATTGGCCAGAATCCAATGGTGGACATCAATAGTCTGTTGTCACCATCTGATACGTGATGGGTGAGAACATCTAAAGAGATACTCAGAGTCTTCAGGCATCTCGCAAAGACAACAAGTGTCATGTGTTTGGTAATTCTGCTTTTTGAGGATAATGGCAGTTGGCAGGATGTGGTTGCAACATTTTGAGACCAGGAAATCCTGGAGATGCAGTTGATGGCAATGCTTAGGGACTTCAAGACAATATCAGTTCCTATCTGTCAAGTATGTGTGATATTGGGGGATCAAACAAGAGTCCATGAGAGTTCTCTTATATTGGCTGGTGACAGAGCAAGATTGGATCCGAAGAACTGCTGTGCATGATGGTAAAACTGGGGTGATGAAATTTGACGTAGTCATCTGAGCATGAAAGGCTCCAGCATAACCATCAGCTTTGCCATTCAGCTGAGCTGTCAGAGGAAGTCAATCAAAGTCAATGGCGTCATCCTGATGGCATTTTACCCAAGAAAAGGAGCAAGTGATGGACAGAGTCTGAATGGTTTGAAAGATCTGTTCAATCAAGTCAAAGTCAGGGGCCATTGTTGCATTTGCATATCCTTCTGTATACTTTTCACATCTGGATTGGATTCTAGTGATCATGAGGGCATTGCTGTCACTGATAAATGTAACCTGTGGGGGGCAAGTTGTAGTGTCACCGGATGATGAAGATGAAGTGGATTCACTTGCAATGTCATTGCTAGTCTTGTGGTTCCATTGGTGTTTATGGAAAACAAGTAGAGTGACAAAAAGGCTAGTAGCTGATTATAAGCCAGTGGCCTCAGTGCAGAGAGAGCTTTCAATTCCATAGCATGGGCCATTTGCATGAGCAATTCTATCCCCAGTGGTAGTAGCTAGGGACCAACCAAAGGACATAGGGCTGAAGCAAACAAATAATAGTCACACCAAACAAAACCATGAACCTAGTAGTACTAATCCCTTCTGGGAGGACTCTAATGAACAACTATGTCAATACTCTATAAACCCTACTACCATTCTAAACGCCCACTGATCACTGCTATATTTCTGATGAATTAAAGGTCAAAATTAAGCTAATGAAAATAGTATGCATGGCACTAAACATGATTAAACTCAAAAAATCAGAGAAAACTCAAGAGGTTGACTGGCACCAATGCTCCTGGAAGAAAGGAGGATTTGAGTTTCAGAGGAAGAATGTTATACAGAGACATTTATTAGGAGATACAAGAACAGAGGGAGGAGAAGGGTGACAGGAACTCAGAAGAAAGGGAAGAAACAGAATATACTAGTAACCCTTAACACCAATAAAGAGGAGAGTCAGAATTCTTCAACCTAGACTTGACAGATTTTTTGCAGCTCTTTCCTCCTCAGTAACCCCTACAAGGCAATTTAGAGCCTCTTCTTGGTGCTCTCTCTCTCCCCTTCCTAATGCATGTCCCTGACTGTAATCACGTCTTCCTTAAGATTCTGCATTTGAGTTTATCAGAGTCCATCCAGGAAGAAGGCTCTGGAGGAGGGATATTCCTCACTTTTATCCACATACCAAACACCTTCTCTTCTTTTTTTGTATGAATCTTCCTCTGTTCTTTCTACTAGAACAACAGTTTGAGTATTGCTATGGGAAGGGAATGGGTATGTTCCTTGGACATATCTAAACCCTTTGATGGCAACTCTCTTTTTGTTTTCTTCAACAATGATCTTCAGCAATGAACTTCAGCAGCAATGATGAAGTGGTCATCACTATTCTTTAGTGTACCACAATTGGTCCTAGTAATATACTGCTCACTGGATTACTTGATAGTACTTGCAATTGCATCTTGTTGTTCTCTGGTACCAACCTTTGTCACTGGTGTTGTAGATGCTGATAGCCTTTGGGCATATCTTCTGTAGTTCTTTCCATCATTGTTAAAGCCAGCATCATTGAGTACTTCTTGAATAGCTTCAGATTGTTGTTGTTGATGATGATGATGATGGCAAAATATAAGAAAATCCAAATCCTAGAAAATTTATTATAATAAGGAGATTCAGCACACTGGGTCTGCTAAAGATGATCTTTTGCTGGTTGGACTGGAGCTCCTTTCTCTGTGGTTTGAAAATTATGACTCATAACCTGTTATAGATTGTATGCAATTGAACCCCACCTCGTTCTTTTTTTTGGAAAAAGGCAATGCAACAAGTGCGTAATGACAATCCATAAATTCTTCGGTGCATCAAGATCATACACATCATAGCACCATAATGTTGTAGGTAACTTGTGTGCTCCCAGAGCACCACAGGTGTTCACGGGCGGATTTTATTTGATACTTGGCTTAAGGTGATCAGAACGGTACTGGAAAAATGAATGAAAAAGTACAAATCGAGATGAATGAAAAATACGATTTCTTAAATATATCAATTTGTATTAGTAGAACACCTTATTTGAGAGAAGAACTCTTTGTAGATTCATGGCTTTATTATTGCCTTTTGGAAAAGACATCTTTTTCCGACTTCATTCTTAATGTCGCTCCGGGAGATATCATAGTCAAATTCTTGAAGTCATTGAAAAAAATACAATAGATGAATTGATTTTGGCAAGCCCCGAAGAAAAATAGATAGATATATGGGATTTTGTCAACTTCACTCGTTGTTACAGTGTTCCTTATGAATCCTGTGATTGCATTACTTATCAACGACCATAAACGAATTAGGCTATATAAATAAATTCACTTTCTCGAATGAACGGCTATTGGAAAAACCTCTTGTTTATAATTTGTGGTAAGGAATTAGAGAGATATTTCCTCATGGATTTTGTTAAATAATATTGATGTCTTTCCTACGTTCTTTGCTAATTAACAATTTACAGTATGAGTACTTGGTAATGTGACTTGTTCGATGAAGAAAATGCCCAACCCATGACCTATTAGGTTGAGAAGAACGATATTCGACTCAACTACCTTGTTTGTATTCGTATTTTTGGATCGTTAAGATGAGATAAATAACCATCAAAACCACGAAATCCCTCAATCCCAACGCAAAGAAGAATACAACAAAGTTCGAATCGGAAATCGCAGTCAACACCAAAACAGACGAAATAGCGCTGCATACCTGCCCGGCAAAGAAAATTTGAGCTTTCGGCTGGCGACAGACACTGCTGACACACCTGTTATGGTTGGTTGTATTCCCTGTTGAAAACTGGCACAGCGATTTTTCCTAATAGAGTATCGATAATGACCACTTTGCTCTCCACTTCGTCGTTATTCACTGCCAAAGGACTGTTCCTTCTGCAACTAGTGATTCTTTGCTTGACAAAACTCCAAAAAGGCGTGATACAAAACCACATCTTCGTGAATTGTGCCAGCAACAATGTGGTATTCTCTGGAAGAAATCGAGGCGTCACTAATAATGGGGGGTTCAATTACGAAATCGAAAAGCGTGTTCACGAACGTGTTTCAGAGTTGATGAACAAACCGGTAACGATGCTTGGACTTGTCGAACGATTTGCACAGACTGATATCTTCGAACCACCAGTTCTCAGGCCCCACCAAAAAGACGACTTCTTTCGAATATTGTGGACCATATGGAAGGAATTTGGTATCGATCTTTATTACGGACAGGAAGATGGATTGTTTCTGGGCGTCATAAAGGGGGCTGGAACCTACCAAGAAGGGAGGGGATCAAATGGATATCTTCTGGACGAGGAAGTTGCCTCGGACGAAGAAAAATACATGAAGCGTCTTTACTTCAACAAGTGTCTCGATCGCGAAACTGGAATTTCGGAAAATTGCACACTCAAGGAAGACGAAGACTACGTTTCGTGTGTAAATAGTTGCAAACTAGCTCCGTGCCCATCATCGGTAGAGGGAGAATATAATAACACCAGCAACTCATCATCGACAATATATTGTCCCACCTATGAAATCCTGCAGGCTCCTACTTCGGGCATGGGATACATTCCGCGATATTATTACTGCCTCAGCAATTCGGGTAGATTCATCGAAAACGATCCACCCAATTCCGTTGAGTCTCCATCCCACATACGAAATGGGCTTTGCACCCATACGGATGGCGTAACACTGGTCAACGGCAGGACTTCCGAGAAACAAACGTATGCGATGGCCGATCGGCGGAACTACGTTTTTCTTCGAGAGTACGACGATGGAATGGCGGAAAACTACACGAGCAATAATGGGGACGAGGCAGCGGCACTGTTGTACTCGGACGTGGCAATCGCGGACGGCCAAAAGACGGACCAGGTCTTTGTGGGTGGATACCACAGCCGGCGTTACGAACCACGCTTGCGTCCGTGGTACATTGGAACCAGAGAGCTCCAGAACGCGTTTTGGACCAAGCCATATCCATTTGCCACTGCCAACGATATTGGAATAACGTATGGAAAGCCCTTGTACTATACCGATCCGACGTCTGGTGCTAAGGTCTTTCGAGGCGTCATTGCTGTCGATTATGACCTCGAAGAAATATCGAGGTTTTTGATTGATGTCTTTTTGGCAGTTGAAGACCAAAGCGAAGAAGAGACCTCGGACATGAACCGGTACTCAAGCTCGAGTGGCGCCACAGTTCTAATCGTAGAAGACGATGGCCCCCATTACATAATTGGTTCCTCTACTGGATCAAAGGCTGCCAAAAAGGTCCGTGTCGAGGACGAAAGCATAGACTGTGACGACGACGAAATCTGGTCGGGAGATATCGAGTGCAAGACCGTCCGATCGACACCCGAAGACTTTTCCCACAACAACACGCGTAGCAACAACAATCAGAATGGCGTGACACAGGATGCGATACTGGCACTGGCATTTAAAGCCCAGAAAGAAGCAGGGTTTCCGAAAGAGTTGGTTGTTTCCTCGCCGAGAGAGGAAGGATACAGCTACACGAATGCCGATGGAAACTCTAACTTTTATGTTTCCCAATCTTTAATTTATGAGCAATTGGAGGGCCAAAATCTCCGATGGAGAATCATTGTCGTTATGCCCGTGGCAGTGGCCACAAATGGCGAGCTATTGTGGGGAGATCCAATGACCGCAGTCGTGTTGACGGTTGCATTGCTTGGATTCGGGATATGCATTGTCTTGTTCTATATTTACTTTTCCAAACGCAAGGCCCTGCATGTCGTCATGAGCGATTGGAGATTCACTTCAGCATTCATATTAGGATGTGCTATGTTGAACTTATCTACACTGGCAACGTTGGGACCTGCGTCAGACGGACAGTGCATGTTGATAATGTGGTCCTACCATCTGGTCTTTGTACTGGCGTTCGCACCTCTACTGATAAAAGTGTGGAGGATACACAAGCTAGTTGGATCGGCCGACCGGGCCCTCCGGTTATCTATCACGAATCGAAAAGCAATGCTTTATACGCTGTAAGTGAATCTATCGCAATGCAGCTGATATTTCGTGATTGAGATCCTTATTCTAGGTCTTTATGCTGCGAATACTTTGCACTCACCTCTTTGATCACGTTTTTGCCAGGCCGATAATCATGGTACAAGTGCTTCTATTGACACTTTTTTCAATATTGGACCCTCCGGTGAAGCATAGTTACGTGGATATCGATGGCAGTAGCAGCTACGAGATAACTATGTGCAAACCGGGTACCAAAGCGATGTTCATCACTGAGATGGTGTTTGAAGGAATTTTAGTAGTCGTTGGCTGTGTATTAGCATACATGACCAGAAATATTGGATCGGCATTCGGAGAAGCCAAGCAACTGCTGTTTGCCATGTACAACTTTGCTTTGGGTGCCGTATTCATAGTTTTGGTGGGGTTCTTCTTGAACATCGATCGAAATACCATGTACGTGATACAGGCCATCGGTGTTTTTTGGGCCACAGTGTTTAGCTGCTGCGCGTTTGTGCTGCCTAGGCTGTTGCAAGTCAAGAGAGATTCACAAACGAGGAGGAGCAGCCTCGACAATTTCGGAAAATCCTACTCGTTTTATGCCAGCGGTAGCAAGCGATTTACAGGCAGCGCTGCCGGTGTGGACCCCGTGTCTCTGGTATCCAGCTCTGGTGGATCCGGATCTTTTGCCCTGAAGCGACGACCGAGTTCATCGGTCACCAATAGAAGATCAATGAATTCGGGTGAATTCGAAGTCGAACGCACCGGTGAATCCGGAGGAGATACGGTTCCGCTTCCCGAGATGGCAGACGTGTTGCATAGGTGTTCCAGCGACAGCGACTTCATCGAGTTCATCAGTGACGTTGAAAAAAAAGCAAACGAGGGTCCTACCTCTACGAATGACAGCACGAACGCTTCGGACGACGGACTGCAGAAAAAAGAAGAACCGAGGGAAACAAGTTGTGCCCGTACCGAAGCCAGCGTCTGAGTCGGCGCAATCCGATTCAGTACCAAATGCGGCTGCGAAAGCACTGCGTGTACATTTAGTTTATTTTACGGGAAATGACACCGTGAAATGTTTAGTTCTTTATATTGTTATGAAGTCCATTGTTTTTCATTCTAGCTACTCTTTTCGTTTTCATTTTCGCTACAACCAACCACCTCGGAGTATTGTACCCAATGAGTCCTCCCGTCCGTTGCGAACGCGTTCCTCGTTCAGCGAACCAAAAACATCATTCGACGAAACAACAGCGGACACTCCAAACCGCTTCCCCTGCGTGTTTGCTTGGTTTCCTTTCTCAGATCGTCACTATGCTTTCCAAAGGATTGCTCCCGCCGTTGTCATCTAGCTGGGCATCTTCGAGCTCCTGGACACGCTCCTCGAACCGCCTTCGTTCCTGGACGAGGTTCTCGATCTGCGCCTTTTTGGACTCGGTTTCCTTCTTGTAGAATTCCGCCCGCGACTTGTACACCTGGACCTCGCGCCGGAGCTTGTCCACCTGCGCATGCTCCGCTGCGGGGCCTCCAGGAGAAAATTGGTTGGGCTGGTGTTGGGGCGGAGCCCCTCTGTTTCGCAGGTGTTCGACCTCTGCCACCAGCCGTTCCACATCCCCCCGTGCTTTTAGCTGGAAGGTCTTGAGGTCGTATAACTCTCGTTCGTTGGCTGCCTTTGCTAGCCGGAGGTTCTGGCACTCTTGCTGCAGGACGGCGTCCTGCCTCCTCCACCTGCTGCACTCCTGCTCGAGGCGGGAATTATCGTACCATGCCTGCTGCAGCTGCTGGTGGAGATGCTGGACCTGGAATCCCACAGCGGCCTGGGGATGGCTTCCGCCATCCTGCCTGCCGCGTTCCTCGAAGGACTCCGTCCGCCCGTCGGATACTCGTCCATAGGCTTGATCGCCGTTGGGAGGTTGTTGTGGATGGTCGGAATTCTCACCGCCGCCACCGTCGTCGTTGTTGTCGTCGCGCAAGAGGTCGATCCTTGCCTCGTCGTGGTGGGAGCTCCGCAGTCTCTTGGCCGGTGGGGGCCCCACCACCTCCAGCGACGTCACGCGCTGGGAGACCCGGTGGCCCGCGGCAAGGTCCAGGGTGTCGCGCTTCTTCTTAGCGGTCGCGGCACGCCTTTTGGTCGCACTCGCCACAAACTCCTCGCTGAACCGAACAACCTCGTGGCGGGCTATCTTCGGAACAGCCGTCTCCCTCCACTTTTTGTTGCACCGGATCGTCGCAACGCCGCGGTAGTTCCGAAGGGTAAAGTCGACGTTGTCGTACGAGATGAAGGTCCCCTTGCAGAGCGGGACGATGGAGACAAAATCGTTGTCTTCTTCAATCTGCTCTCGGTCTTGGTAGTGCCGGTAGGCTTCTTCCAGGGACGGCTTCGTTTCCAGGACCGCCTCCCGAATCGCCGTCTTGGAATCCCCCAGCCGGTAGTAGTAGTAGTTCCAGTAAAAGTGGGCAATGGCTGCCGTCCACTCGCTGACGTTCGAAGCGTGGATCTGACCGTGCTTGGAATGCCCGTAGGCCGTGTCCTGCTTGGTGGGGTTGAGCGGAAGCGTCCCGTTGTAGTCGTCGATGATCACGGTCATTCCCTGGCAAAAGTCCGTCGATCCCCCCGTTAGGCCCAACTCGTTTCGCGGATCGTTCCGGACCTTGATCAGCCGGCCCGATTGCCGGCTGTAGAGATACACCTTGAGGGCCGAGTTGTTCCCACCCATGACCTGGTTCCCTCCGGGGACCGGGGTCATCGCGGTCTTGTCGCTGCCCTCCCCGCCTTCCGTCTTGGAGCCCACGGGCACCCGGCACCGGTAGGGATCGAACCCGCAAAAGAAGCGGACCACCTTGGAGGGATCGTCGATCTCGTACACGTTCCGAACGTGGTTCGGTTCGTACCGGCTCTTGCTGATCTTGCTCCAGAGCTCCGTCTGGGAAACCTGCAGCTCGAACCGGGAGAGCTCGGCCAGCCGGCGTTCCCAGTATATGGATTCGATCGGGCTTCCCTGGACGCAAACGTCCAGGTCGTGCAGGTGGAGGTAGAGGTAGGGCAGCTGGTCCCGGAGCGTGTGCAGGAGCGAGAGAGACCGCTGGGCGTCCTCGTCCTCGTCGTCGTCCCCTCCCCGCTGGACCTCGTGGTAGGCAATGGCCCTCGGGCCGGGAGCCTCCCTCCCCGATCCGTTCCGCCGGGCCCGGACCGGGCTGCCGTGGTCCTCGATCTCGATGGTCACCGCTTCGTTTTGCTCGTGGTCGTCGTCCCCGGCCCCCTGGTCAAAGGCCGCGTGCTTGAGGTTGGTCAGCACCACGCAAAAGACATTGTCGCAGTCCCTCCAGTCCCGGTGGGAGAGCAGGACGTCCATGTGCTGGAGGCACTGATCGATCCCGTCCTTCCGGTGATAGCCCCCGTACTCGCGGACGGCCCTGCCCCACGTCCTGGGGTGCTTGTCGCACATCGCCTCGAGCTTGGTTTCCAGGTCGCCAATCTCAAAGACAAACTCGTTTTCCGAGTCCGCGCCTCTGGCTCGTTCCCCGTCTGCGTCCAGCGTCCAGCCCACCGAAGGCAGGACGATCCCGTCGTCCCGCTGCAACTCCTGCATGAGGATTCCCATGCTGAGGACGGACCGCTGGCTCCCGTCCGCGTCTCTTCTGGTTGTCTTGGTAAAGACAAAGGAAAGGGTCGAGAGCGAGGCACATGCGTGCTTGACCCCGATCCCGTTTTCCCCGATGCTGTTGTCCGCATCCCCGGCCTTGCTCGACTTGTAGACCTGCAGGACCTGTTTGAGGGGGGGGATGAACCTGGACGCGTTGATCAGGACGACCCCGTTGCGGCCGATCGTGTCCATGTCGACGCGGATCTTGGGACGGTGGATTGCTTCGACCGCCCCCGAGGAAACCGGTCGGTCTGGGTTCTTTCCCTCCGGCAGGAGCGTCCAGCTGGCGTCGACGGCATTGTCAAAGAGATCGAGGAGGGCCAGGAGCGGCGTGTCGAAACTCCGGGTCCACGCGTGCCACATCCCCCTGCCGTTGACCTGGTCCACGGCCGACGACGACGGCGAGGACGACCGCTGCCGGCGCATCTCCTCTTCCCATTCTCGTTGCTCTTGTTCCTGTTGTTCTCTTCTCCGTTGCAGTGCCTCTTGTTCCTGCTGTTTCGTTCTCCGTTGGAGTTCCTCCCGTCGCCTTCGCTCTTCGTCGTTTCGCTGGTCTGCTTGTCGCGTGGCTTCCGCGTCTCKGGGTGGATCGATGGCATTGTCGCTCGGCATTGGATCCGGAGGCTCTTGCACAGGCGTTTCCTGTTGCTGATCCGGCGAAATCCCTGTCGCCATGGATCGCTGGGGCGAGAGCGACTCCCGCTTGGCCTCGACCGCGGCTTGGATCGAGGGGTGGATGTAGTCGTCATCGTCGTCATCCTTGTCCTCGTCGGAGTTGTCGTTGTCGTTGTTGTTGTCGTTTTCGTTGGCATTGGCATTGTCGGAGACCTGGTTGTCGCTGTCGTTTTCTGCGCCCGCGCCATCCCCCTTGCGTATCGGGGACGCGAAAGTCGAGATCTCCTCGTCCACCACCACGGGATCCTCGGGGATTCCCCGGTAGATCTTCTTGAGCACGACCGACAGGGGCCACCCACCGGGGGACGTTCCCCTCCGAGCCGTTCCGTGCAGGACAAAGGTTCCAAAATGGTTCTTCCCGGACCCCTCGACGCGGTAGACCAGGGCGTTCGGCTCGTTGCCGGGGGAACGGCTCAGGGAACGGAACTCGATCCGGACGCTGCTTTCCCGAAAGGTCTTGTTCCGGAGGGACTGCTTTCCATTCATTGTCACGTGGACAGAGGGCGCAACAAACTTGCCCGAAAAGATCAGGCTTCCGTCCCTCGAGAGGTCCGTGTTCGGGCCCGAGAGGCCGTTGTCCCGGGTGGCGGAGAGCTCAAAGGGAAAGACGGGGGACGGCGCTGGCCCCTCGTACTGCCAGGTGCCGTTGAGCGAGACCCCCCTCCCTCCGTTTTCGAGGGCGAGGGTCCCCGAGAGGAGCGGAACGGGTTGCTTCGGCGGCTTTGCCGGCGTGGCCGGGCTCTGGGCCTCGGTCTGGGTCTGCGTCACGGGCACCGCCTCTGCGCGGGAGGGAGCCTCGGTGGTCCCTCCGTTCGTATTGTGCGGTTCCTTCTCCGCCTCCAGCTCCCACCGTGCGAGCGATCCGTCGCAGGCATGGTCGTCGTCGTTTCCGCCGACGCAGTCGTTGCTGCTGCTGCTGCTGCTGCCGCTGCCGCCGGTCTGGACGGTCCGCAGGGCGTCTTCGAGCGAGTACGAAACCATCGTGTTCGGCGATTCGATTTCCCGTGGGTGGTCCTAGCTGCAGTGCTGCTGTGGGTGGTTTGCGGTTTSCGGTTTGCGGTTTGTCTTTTGTATTTTGCGCGTTGTGTTTTGTGTCGTATCTTCTATTTGTGTTCTGTCGTGTTGCAGGGGTTGCTATGGTTGTTGTAGTTGTTTCTTTGTGTGCTTGATTTTTTGTGTTTTTGTGTTCGTGTTTTTTTGGGTTGTCAGTATGGTTTGTCGTCACTCGAAGGCGGGAAGTGACTAGCAAACGCACAACGGTAGCCTCAATTTCCCAGATTCACCGGCCGGCATCGCCGGGCACAGCGGTGGTTACGTAGGAATGTACGAAATTTCCAGTACTATGTTACAATTCTCTGTAGAAGACAAAAAGTGTATTACTGTGCTTTTAGATGGTTCTTTAGGTAGTAGTATTAAAGAATATTGGGAAGAAGAGAACCCCATACAATAAGTTTTCTCAATCATGCAAAAAAGAGAGAACCAGCACCAAAACAAGAAGAATGAAGACACACAATATAAGAACTTCAGTCATAAGTGATAAAAAAATTTGGTCACTCCACCAAGAAGGAAGAGAACCATCCCATTCCCAAGACTTGCTGATAAATCCAGTCATGAGTCATAAAGAAACCCTAAGAAGAAGTCACCACAAGGGAAAACAACTCCCAAARTTAAAAAACAAGACTGGCACTACCTATTTATTGCAAATGCTAACAATTACTACTACTACTACTAGTAATATTAGTACTAGTAGTAGTGGTGTAGTAGTACCATTGCACACCACACCTCAAAAACATCATACTAGTAGTAGTAGTGCTACTAGTAGTAGTACTACTAGTGCTACTTGTACTACTAATACTACTGGTAAGAATACCACTTTCCAAAACACCATCAGAAAAATAATCTTGGAAAGGTATTTTTTGCTACTGGTCATCTCAGAATGGTGGTATCAAGAATGAATATGTTCTATTATTTCTCAGCATGTTCACACTATTAGGACTGTACCAGGCCTACGTACATTCTACTGCACTCAATTGTTGGGGGGGCGGATTTTACCCCCAATGAAGATTAGTCACTCACGAACAGGAACTTTTTTCCACGGCGCCTGCCGATGGAATCTTTTTGAAATTTAAAAAATAGGTCCAGTACCGTATTGTACGTACTGAATCGTACATATGTACGAGTACCGGTACGGTACCTTGCTTCTTCTGTAATGAAAATTATGATCTGTATTAGACTATTCGTACTACCCTCACGGTAGCGGTGTGTCCCACAGCTGCTTGTACGCCATCATTCCATTCCATACGGATGCCCTATTCCACAATYGCGATGGAAAATGGAAACGAACCATCCTTTGCATCTCAACAACTGCAATTCTGGGATGGCACTGCGGATGGGATCAGACCAAAAAAGACGGGGCCCGAGTTCGAGATGACAAAGGATGCAAACGAGAACGAGATCGAGATCGAGAACGAGATCGATATTGTGAGGACCCAACCGCAACGGATGCGCTTTCGCCAGCAAGATGTCTGCGGACGGCCGGGATCCCAACCGCGCGTAGCCAGTGAAGGGCTCCGGTGGCCATGGGGTTTGCTCGGTTTGCTGCTGCTGCTGCTGCTGCTGTTGCAAGGTTTCCTTGCCACCGCCGCAGCAACGGACCAACGAATTCTGTATCACTCGCGGAGGGGGCCAGCGGACGGCCGGAGCCACTACCACTACCACCGAGGGCTTTCGCAGGAGTCTTCCCTCTTGCGAACGGAACTCTTTCCGACCTCGTCCCTGGCGGTTGCGGGGCACGAGCGCGGACGGAAATTAGGGCGGAACCGAGGWGCCGGTGCTACCGACAAACACCTCCACGAACACGAGCACGACGCGGACTACACCGAGTGGCCCGAGGAATGGTTTCACCCGTATTCTCGCGCCGTGTACGCCACGCTGCACCCCCCCTTTCCGGAGGACGGGACCGAAACCGAGACCCCAATATCCAGCCAACAACAACAACAACAACAACAACGACAACCATCGCAGACATCGCCATCGGGGTCACGGAAATCACAGCGGGATCTTCTGCGAAAGCAGCAACAACAAGAGCAACAGCGGGCGCACTACCGAGACTTTGTGGCACACCGACATCTGTCCCGGTTCGAGCGTGCCTACCGTGAAAAGCTCGGGCTGAACCTCCACCCCAACTGGGCCGGAAACTATTCGGATCCCACCGATTGCTCCATCGAGCTCCACCACCAGCGAAGGCACGGCTTTCGCCGCCGGGGCCAAAACGCCACGGGGGAGAACCACCACCGCATTTCCGACAGCCGTCGGGGCCTGCTGGAATCCCTCGTGGGAGGAGTATTTGACGATTACCAGGGCGTCCCGCTCTCGCAGGGCTACGGGACCCACTACGTTCACCTGTGGGTGGGATCCCCCATCCCGCAGCGCCAGACGGTCATCGTCGACACCGGATCGCACTACACCGGCTTTCCAGTGGCAAACGAGTGCAAGCACTGCGGGGAGGAGCACCACACCGATCCGCACTTTGATCCCTCCCGGTCGGATACCTTTCGGATGCTGGAATGCCCGGGAGAGTGCGTCGAGACCTTTGGGTGCGAGGAGGTCCCCCCCAAAGCCGTTGCCACTTCCACCAACGGTACCACCCATCGGAGAGGCCCCCCCGCGGCCCGGTGCACCTTCACGCAGGCCTACACGGAGGGCTCCAGCTGGACGGCCTACCAGGCCAGGGACGTGGTCTACTGCGGGAGCGGGGCCGACCTCCTCGAGGCGGTAGATCCCCTCGACACCCGTTACGCCATTCCCTTTGTCTTTGGCTGTCTCAAGGCCAACACCGGCCTCTTCAAGACCCAGCTCGCCGACGGGATCATGGGAATGTCGGCGCACGAGCTCACCCTCCCCAAGCAGCTCTACAACGAGCGCAAGATCGAGCACAACATGTTCGCGCTGTGCTTCCGCAAGGAACTCGGGACCTCGAAGAGAGGCGTCACGGCGGGGTCCATGATCCTCGGGGGAGCCTCGTCCGTCCTGGACACGTCCCCGATGGTCTATGCGCAGAACATCCGGCCCTACGGGTGGTACACGGTCTACCTGGAAAAGGTCTACGTGGCCACCCGGGGGGGACACACCTTTGTCTTTGACGACCCGTCCGTCTCTCACTCGGATCTCCAGAAGGAATTCGGCATCGTCCCGATCCGTTCCTTTCATCCGGTCCTGGTCAACCGGGAGCGGGGGGTCATTGTCGATTCGGGAACGACGGACACCTACATCCCCTCGAGCATTCGAGAGGAATTCTGCCGCATCTGGAAGGACGCCACCGGGACGGAATATTCGAACGGGKCCATCTACCTGACCCAGTCGCAGCTCAAGAAGCTGCCGACCCTCCTGCTCCAGTTCCGAAACTCACCCACGACGCCGCAGTCCTCCGCGGAGCAGAATGGCTCCTCCACCAAAAAAAGCGAGAATGGCGGGCAAATGTCYCCCCGGCCCGTCCAGGGACAGGTGGGATACCTRGACCCGGACAACAAGAAGGACGTCCTTCTGGCGGTACCGGCGACCTCGTACATGGAATACAGCCCGACCCTCAAGGTCTACACGAGCCGCCTGTTCTTCACCGAGACAAAGGGCGGGGTGATCGGGGCCAACTCGATGCAGGGGCACAACATACTGTTCGACTGGCAGCACGGCCGGATCGGCTTTGCCCAGAGCTCGTGCGCCTACGACCTGTTGGCCGGCAAGAACGACAACCACGCCGATTTCGGGTCCGCCGGAAGCGGCGGCGACTGCCASTTTTTYGACCACGGYCGGTCCCCGGTACTGACGCAGACCTGCCTCGAGAGCATCCTGGGCAGCGAGGAGAGCATCGCGGTCTGCGAGGCCTCCGATAACCCGACCAACGTCGAGATTGCCGGCACCGAGGTGTGGACGCTCCAGGTAGAGTTTCCGGGATCGGACCCAGACAGCTGCGAGAACGCCATGCGGGAATGGAGCGAGTCGCAGGACACGACCAACCAGGTGGATCCGTCCACCACGGCCTGCATCCCCGGCGGCCTGTGCCAGGAATTCCGGCCGTGCCACGTTCCCTGTACGAGGGCCATTGCGTACCGGGCCSAACAAGCCAAGCTCCGGGGGAAGCGCCACGGCAGGGTTCACCAAACCCCTAGCAAAGGGTCTTTGGCAGCTCCGGGAAGCAAGGATGGCACGACCCACGAGGCGGTGACCGTCCCCCATTCCGTCGTCAATCGCACGAGCGATCCTGYCGAAGCGGCTGCGCTCTGCAGCGACTGGAGGTGGAGCGCCTGCGACCACTCCTGCCGCCAGTCCCGCCTTTCCGTGGATGGTGCCGTTGCCCACGCCAACGGGATCTACTGCCTGGAATCCGAGCGGGAAACCCGCCGCTGCCACGTCGGCGTCTGCGGCCGGTCCGACCCGTGCCTCGTTCCGTTTCTGGTGCACGCGATCCTCGTCCTGGAGGCCCGGCCCCCCCGGGACGGGGCCGCCTGGACGCCGTGGATCGAGGAGGAGTTCCGGCGGAGGCTCACCTTTGCGGCACACGATCCGGGGGTCCGCGGAAGCGGCGAAAGGGGGATGCTCTTTGGAGCGGGAGACGTGAACGTTCTCGCGGTTCGCCCCTACTACGGCGACGATGAGGACGACGACGAAGAAGAAGAGACGGACGAGGACGGCGGCACGGAACGGCGATCACCGCTCGGGACACAGCTGATTCTACAGATTTCCATATCGAATCCAAAAGCGACACGGAAGGACCAAAACCCGGAACACGGAGGCAGAAAGCTGCTCCAAGAGGTCGGCGTGGTTTGGTCGAACATCACCAGCGCGTTTCGTCGATCCAAGGCAACGAGCCTGTGCGATCCGTTCGATCTGTATCCACTGGCAAAGAACGCAAATCTAGTCGCCGACAAAATCCTCCCGTCCCCTAGGTTTCTGGCACTGCTGGTTTCGGACGACGACAACGGCGGGGACGAAGAAGAGGACGGCAGCCCACGGGAAGTGCCGCGGGCGTTTGGTTCCTCKCGACTGGTTTCCTCGTGGACCATCGGAACMCAGATCTACGACGACTCGGTGAACTACCTCGGACCCCTGGCCTCCAACCCGTTCTTCCCGTTCCTGAAACTCGTTCACGAGGCCTTTGTGCTCATCATCGCCTTTTGGTGCCTCGTGTGCCTCGCGAAGAGTTCCCGCCTGGTGAAGGTGTGCATCGTTCGCGGCTTCAAGAAGTGGAATCCCGATTCGTACCAAAACGATCCCGTCTCCCGGGACGACGACAACAACATCATCATCCACGGCGATGCGGGAGCAGGTGGGGAGGGCAGCGGGGAAACGACGTCCCTCCTGTCGTTTCTTTCGTCTGCGGCCGGGAGGGACGGCAAGAACTCCTCGGGGGGAATCGAATTGACGACTACCACGACATCCCATCTTGGATCGAGGGTCAAGAAACGAATCACTAGATAGATAACTGGTAGAAGTACGGTACAACACAWCAGGCATCGCTATTGGAAGTAGATAACAACAGTAAACGGTACGGCATGAGGCACATTACACCAAGAAGCGTCTTTCATTTTTAGCCGGAGATAATGGAAGGCCCCACCATTTTCTCGATATTTCTGTACCTGATAGAAGCGAAAGCCAAATCGAATGCGGTTTTCATAACTCGGTACAAATGGTACATAGTACTAGTACTGGGACAGGTGGGCCTTCTTAGTACTAGTAGTAGTAGTAGTAGCACCTTCTCGCTACCAGAATGTGTTTTAAATGTTTCATCAACGTTCCTCAAGTGTTCGGAACAACCAACATGCTTCCAAGGCATGCTCAGGGATAAATCTACAAGGAATATTGCAAATACATGAAGAGAAACTAGTAGTAGTTACAGTAATGAAAAACAAAATAAAATATCGTAAGCAATCAACAACTACGATACGTACTAGTAGTAGAAGTAGTATTACAGCAATATTTTCGTTGCGGGGTGCATGTTGCGARGTCGGAATTTTCCCCAAACCCGGATAGTATTCCCCCGAACTCTAATTTATCAAGGATTTCGGATCTTTTCTTCGCGAGTGTCAACGCCACAATTTTTTTGTTCCTCTTGATTTCGTTGCTTGCCTCTATTCTGTGTGAAGAACATCTCGGGCAAGCTTGTTTTTATTCGAAAGCAACTCTTTCTCGGGACAAACCAACAAAACCGAACGAGCAAAGGACCGCAAGAGGAGACTGTCCTGTGTTTCGTTGCAATTGGGTGCGGTACGGTGTTGCGTGTTGCTGGTACGAAACTCGTACCGTTATGGTAGCAACGATGAGGAGAATGATGGCGACAATCATCGGGATCGAGACGGCCGCCTTTGCTGTTCTTCTTGGCGATGCCGCGGTTGCCACCGACGGCAGAGCGATTATCCCCGTTCCGTCGGCCCCCCAATTTCGCTACCAATCTACGGACTTTGTCGGTAGGTGTAGAGTTGCGAAGGATTTTGTTTATCCGTTCCAAGTCGACTGGACGGAACTCGCGATGCGGTATGTTTGCTTGCTTTCCACTGCCGTGTCTGGGAACACAAGCCATCTCACACCGGTGCTCCTTTCCCCTTTCCTTGCACAGCGCTGATTCACTTCAACATGGCGACGTACGCCAGAGACGGAGACCCGGGTTGCGATGCCACAAACTGGAACCAAAAAGCCCCGAACGCCACCGGGCCCACAAAGGATCCCTCCACCTTTGCACCCTCCCTCCTCAACACCACCCAGTGGTTCGATTCCATCACGGCGCTCGGGGCGAACATTGCCGTCCTGACGGCCAAGCACGGCTGTGGTTTTTTGCTCTGGCCCACCACCGCCGTGCTGCCGGTCGGCGATGCGGGCAACGCGACGGGCAGCGAAACCTTCGTCCCCTATGGATACCACACCCGCTTCGACCTCCTGCGGCAATTCGTAGACTCCGCAAAGGCCAGCGGCRTCGGGTAYGGCTTTTACTACAGCATCATGAAAAACTTTTTCCTCTGCCGGTCGTTCGAGGGAGAGAATTCGTGCGGGAAGGCCGTCCTGGACGGCCAGCACAACGTCAGCGACGCTTCCTACCACACCATCGTGGAGCACCACCTGACCGAGCTCTACACGTCCTACGGGCCCCTCACCGAGGTCTGGATCGATAGCCGCCTGCAGGGCTTTGGCCCCCTCCTCGACCGGCTGCAGCCGACCGCGGCCGGGGTCCCCTCCCACCCCCGGCAGTGGTGCGGGACCGAGTCGGGATACCCGTCGCGGGACGTCGGGCCCGGGCCGGTCTGGCAGACCGGAACCGGCTTTCGCGGAAACGCCTCGTCCGGCCGGTGGGTCGACAAGTTCTGCGACCCGCAGCTCTTCGAGGACCACATCTGGTTCTACGAGCCCGGCCGGGCCATCAAGCCGCTGGCGGAGATGATCGCGATCTACCACGACGTCGTCGGTCGGGGGATGGTCATGGAGCTGGCCTTTGCCATCGGCCGGGACGGGCTGGTCCAGGAAAGCCACGAGCGCGGCTACCGGGCCCTGGGGGACTGGGTCCGCGGCTGCTACGGGACACCGCTGTGGTCCGTTTCGGACCGGGTCCCCGAGCGGGACCGAGGCGTGTACACGCTGGAACTGCCGGTACCGGAAGACGCATTTGGCGGCGGTTCCGACTACCTGGATTGGCGCTCGGTGCTGTCCCTCTTCGATCGGATCGTGCTGCGGGAGGACGTTTCGGTGGGCCAGCGGATACGGAACTACACCGTTGCGCTGGTGGGGCAGCACCACCACCACCGCCACCATCGATACCCGTTCGAGGATTCCGAACCCGTGGAGCTTGCCACGCTAGTTTCCGACGGGACCTCCGTGGGACGAAAGCGGATCCACCTCCTGGACCAGTCGAGRCATTCCTTCCCCCGCGTGGGGTTCCGGGCGAGCAACGCGAGCATACTGCTGACGGTCACCCACGCGATCGCCCCGCCCCACATCGCCCTGTTTGGTGTGTACAAGCCGTGTTACCCCCACAACGAGCCAGGCCGGTCCGAGCAAAGCTAAAGATCCGGATGAGACGAAACGACACGAAACGAAACCAAATTGCCTGTGGACCTGCGAGTGGATCTCGATTGGTGTCTTTTCGTGCACATTGCAATGTTCTGCCGTCCGGAGGAATCCTCGTCCGTCCCGATGGCTATCGGTAGCATCGCAATCCCGGTGGGGTTCGGTCCGAGACGTTCCGGCTGCTCCTCGTTGGTCGCGGCCGAGGGTCGACAGCACGAGGCCGTTGCGACGCAAACAAAAATTGGATTCTCGACGACGTGTGTTTTGTAGCACGTACGAGAAACCATTGCGAATACGGTCCCACAAAACCAGTCTTGCAGGCGAGTCCAACGAGGCACACAAAATTCTTCATCGCTCCTTGCATACCATCCCAATTCTAGCCTACAACTGGTGTACAGTAATAATTTAGGCATCATCATTGTTTTTATCGGTTTTATCATTGGGTTTATTTTACGCCTCAACCGGCAGGCCGGGCATWCCATCTCGACCAATGCTTGCGTWTTTGCTCCACACTCGTGCGCATGCGGATAGTAGCGACAAAAACCTGCGTTCGAAAGGGAACTTGGGGTCGTCTGCGTTCGGACAACCAAAGCAGGACGCAAAAAGCGAGTCTTGCCCCGGTGATCGATCGATGATTTGGAATGGCTTGGCGGTCTCGATGAATGTGGTCCAATTGTAGAGCCAATGAGACCCATCGTTCCTCCTATGAGAGTCGTGTGGAAAGTCTTGCGAGGAAGTCTTTGTCGYGGCCTCGTAMRGTACGGTGCTSTACGGAACACACGAGACGCCTTCGAGCCAGCCGGTGCGGTGCCCGGATCGAACCTTGTTTTGCGTTCGCGGATTTCGCGTCGCGTTTCCCCCGAGAGCGCCTAGAGAACGGCCGTCCAGTCGTCGACGACGGCCACCTTGTATCCAAAGCGCTCGAGCTGGGTCCTGGCCTCGGGATCAAAGTCGACCGTCAGGCCGATGTTGGACGAGAGCTGCCGGACCAGGGCGACCCGGCCGAGGACCGACGAGGCCAGGAGGATCCGGTGGGCCGGTAGGACCGATTCGGGGACCCCGCTGGTCCGGGTTTCGCCGTCGCCGTCGCCATTGCCGTCGCCATTGCCATTGGCGTTCCCGCGGAGGAGGCCCACCACTGTTTCGTGGGCCTCCTGGGTCTCGGCCACGAGGGACCCGCTTTCGCCGCCGCCCTTGCTTCTGCCCTTGTTTTCCTCCACCGCMACCACGACCAGGACCGTGTAGTGCGCCGCCAGCCCCCGGACGGCCCGGGCCACCGAAGAGCGCTGCGCTCGGTCCTCCAGGTGCCTCTGCAAAGAGACCCCCAGGACAAAGACGGAACCCCTGGAGGGGACGGCCGCCRCCGGTGCCCTGCYKGTTTTTTCCAGGGCCGCAAAGAGGCGGCTCAGGATCCGGGCCCGCTCTTTGCGGSCGGAAGCGAGTCCTTCCTCGTCCCCGGCGGTTTTGCGGGCTTCCGCCGCCGCCCTCGTGTGGGAAAAGGAGACGAGGCCGTTGTCCGAGAGGAAGGACCCCCCGCCGATGATGCCCGCGGCCGAAGGAGAAGGCTGCCCCGACACCAGGTGCGGCGGAAGCCTCCGGCAGGGGGCCAGGGCCTCGGCCGCGGCCTCGGAGAGCCCGGGGGTCCTCCGGCGGGGGGCCTGGGCCTGCTGTTGTTGCTGCTGCTGTTGCTGCTGATGTTGTTGTTGCTGCTGCCGGGGCCTCCGGGCGGGCCGCCGCCGCGGGTCGTCTTCCTGCCCCGCTTGCCGCCTCCGCTCCGCTGCCCCCGTGCCGTTCCGTTCTTCCGCCGTCGGCTTGAGGAAGAACAGGTAGACGGCCAGGGTCAGGAGGGCAACGAGAAGGGTCGAGAGGCTGGAACCGGGGGCCGCCGGGTCGTCGGTTGTGCCTTCGTCGGCGGGTGTGCCTCCGTCCATGGTGTCGGTGCAGCGAATGGAGTGGCGTTTGAGGTGGTGGTGGTGGTTGTGGTGGTTGTTGTTGCTCGAGATCGAAGCTACAATATCGCAAGGGACCCTAGCGGTAGCAAGAGTTCCGGTGACGAATGACGACGAGGAATCTGTTTCGGATTGCTCACCTTTTTTGGGCGTTAGCGGCATGTGTTGGTTGCGAGCTCGATGTGAGCAGCGTTGCGGTACTATGTACTCGTGCGTAAGTTCTTTACTGTACTGGAGGGGTTTACTGTACGTACGGTACCGTACAGTAMGGTACTGTACGATTGGAAATGAGAAAACGACCAAATGAATGATCTCTGTTATGTTGTCTTGTCTTGCACTCACGAGGCGGTACGGTACGAACGTGCTCGTACTTGCAGTATCGTACTAATTAAGCGTAGGACCCTGTATGTAAAAAAGTACGAACTTGAGCTACCAGGGACGTACGTACGTACCAGTACAGACCTTACGAACTTACGTTACTGTACTGTATCGTTCTTGAACATTCCGTCCCGTTAGCATTCTACCTGATATTAGTGTACTACGAAGGTGCTGTAAGTCGGACACTGCACAATAAGTAGTAGGTTGCAGTACGTCCTTTGTCCTTTTCTCCAACTTCCGTCGATCGCTTCTCACCTTTTGAATGGATTGTTCTTCTTTTRTGCCACTCGAAGTAAAGAATAAGAAGATCGTCGATGCACGTCAATGTGTGAATGATCGTGATTGTTCGGTGCCSATTAGTTGTACGGCTAAGGGCCTAATCAATGGTGAAGGAGCGCTATTGTGAAAGGAAACACGATCCAGTCCGACACGATGTTCGGAAAGTTGTACAGCAGGSTGTCATCCGTACATCGGGCTTAAGAAATGGAAGGCCCTGAAAGTAGCGAACAGGATCATACTTGCACGGAGGCACGTGTAATCAGCGGTACGATACCATTGTAAAGCATGTCTTCGWCTGTAAAAAACAGAAAACAGGAGAGGGTGCGGTGTGGACGAGACGCTCCGACAGAAAAACMAAGCGAGACTCCGCGTGCCACCATTGCATGGACGAAGTACCAGGTATCGTACCATGCAGTACGATACGATGCATTGGCATTTGCTTGCGGCTCGTTTTCTTTTTTCTTTGCCTCGCCTTCGCGGCCCTCCCGTGTTCCCCTCGATTCGAACGAAGGAAGCAAAATCCATCGAACCAAGACAGCGATTATCGTCTCTCAAGCAGCCAGCCAATAAACCAACCAAGGATATCGATCCAACCAAATCACAAGTCAATCTCACCCTCAATCCAATCCAATCAGGATAGATCCAATCAAGATAGATCCAATCAAGATAGATCCAATCCGAATCCAAGCCCACAAAGAAGAACAAGAACAAGAACAAGAACAAGAACAAGAACAAGAACAAGCACCAGCACCAGCCGAGACCGAACACGATCCACGCTCTGCCAAGCGACACGCACCACTCCGAAACAAGGCAAACCGACGCGACGCGACGCGACACCATGGAGGACTCCCATCAGAGAGACGAAAGCCCCCGAGGCGGCGGCTGGTACGGGACCGACCCCGTGGTGCTTGTCCTGTCCGCCAGCACGGTCCTCTTGGCGTCCTACTTCCTCTTCCTCTTCCTGAAGTTCCGGATCCCGAAGAAGACKGCCGTTGCGTTGGAGATCGCCCGCATGGACCAGGACGAGARGCGCGAGTACTACCTCTACCTCTTCCGGGAGAACGGAGGGGAGTTCGAGCTGACCGAGGACCAGGTCGTCCTCGGAAAGCGCAGGGAAGAAGCCGAAACCGAAGCCGAAACCGAACAAGACACCAAGGACAGCGACACCGAAGAAAACGACAGCGACGACGCCTCGTCTTGTTCCGTCTATCTGTCGCTGTGTTTGGAACAGCCGGGCTCCGGAGGCGCAAGCCAGGGCCGCAAGGCAAGAGCCGGCGAAAACATCGAAGCCGGGCTTGCAACAACAAAGCGGGCAGAAGTGCAAAAGCAGACACAAACACAAACACAAACACAAGCGCCGAAGCAAACCCAGCCCTTGCTCGTTCGGGGCCAGTGCGTCGTCTGCTTCGAGCCCTTTCTCCCCGGGGAAAGGGTCGTCCGGTCCGTCCCCGGAAGAGAAGCGTCTGCGTCCGCGTCCGCTTCGGGCGGGAGGGGCTGCCCCCACGTCTTCCACAAGGACTGCCTCGTGGGCTGCCTGGTCCACCGGCCCAAGCCGGCCTCGGGAGGGGAGCCGCTTCCGGCCTGCCCGACCTGCCGCCGGGGATTCTGCGACCTGCTGCCGCCCCCGCGCGAGAGAAGGTGCTTTCCCGTCCGCTAGCGGGGGGAACGAAACGAAACGAAACGAAACGAAACGCACGGAGGGGGGGGAGAGATGCTAGTAGTGGTGTCGAACGAACGAACGACAGAGACTACCCATTACGAAGGAAACGAAACGGCACCGGATGGGTTGGGGTGATAGGTGGGCTGGTTTTGCTCGCGCGATCAGATGCGAGGCAAGGTAAGGCAGCACAGCACAGCGCAACTCAACTCAATTCTAAAGCAGCAAAGCAACAAGAACGAGCTCCTTGATTAGCTAGGATGTTTCTTTCCAATGTCTTTGTCCGGTATGTTATTCGTCTTTTTTGTCGATTGCATTATGGTTGTGCCTTTTGTTATTCTAGGTTTGTAACGGTTGCAGCATGGATGTGGCTTTGGCTTCGGTAGTGCGTCGTTGTTCGCTGGCGTGGATCTGGCTTCTTCCGAATATTGCGAACCGCGTCTTTGTGTTCCGTCGGGTGTGGCTAAAATTGCTTCCGTTTCGTTTCGTCTCGTCTCGTCTCGCGTTGGTGCCGCGGAATCCCTTCGCAAAACGCTCTCGAATACCGCCAGCCGCGTCTTGGTGTCCCGTGGCGTGTTGTTCGGATCGGTCCGGTTTGGCTCCRCTTCGTCTCGCRTTCGAGCTGCATGGTTCCATGAACKAAGCGAAACCGACACGYCGCCAATAGGACGGGTCGGAGTCCAGACACCCGGTCCTCCTTTTGCGTTCTGCGTTTGTTGCCACTCGCTCCATGGAGCGATCGGATCGATGGYCGCGGTTGCCATTGCTCTGCACCGCTATGGCCCGGTGGGTTTTGGTTTGGTTTGGTTCGGTCTTTCCCGGACGGTCTCTCGGTTCAAAGAACGGTTCACCCCTGGGCACCGCGAACGCCTTTTCCCCCKAGGGAATCGGAGGGCCCCCGGACCACCCCAAAGAGGATGACGACCATGGTCGAAACGATGACCGCAACGTAGATGTACCTCCGGCACTTTTCCACGTCCACCATCAGCGTCGGGTTCCGCGTCGGGTCCACGTAGTCCAGCAGCGACGACCTCCGGGGGGGTGGAGCCACGCTGGTGGCGTCTTTGTCGCCGTTTGCCCCGAGGCGCTCGCAGGCCTCCATCGCGTCCTCGCGCTCCGACCCGTCGAGGAGCTCCTCGACGTCCTCGTATTCGTCCTCCTCGTCGATCGTCCCGTAGCACATTGCGGACGAGGTCGACGACGAGGCCGACAGCGAGACGGTGGAAGAGTCCATGKGGTGGTACGAGGAAGAGGAAACCTCCGGGCGCTTGGCCGCCGTTCCGGGTTCCGCCGTTGGGAAACAAGGGGAAAAGAGCATCTTCGGTTTTGAGGGTGGGCAAATGGTTGGTGGCACGGTGTCTGTCGGCAGGATTGATTCAATTCGCTTGTTCGTTGCRGGTGTTTGCGACCGCACGGGTTTTGGAGTTGTGCGGAGTTTGGCGTCTTTTCCTCGTCGATGGGTTGGGGCCCAGAGCGGAAGGAAACAGAGCGTCGTCTTGTGCGGCAGGCGGTGAGTTGATTGATCGATCGATTGGTTGATCGGTCGGTTGGTTGATCGGTTGGTTGATCGGTTGGTTGATCGGTTGGTTGATTTGTCCGACAGACTACCAGCGGGAACACCACCACCAATACAACCTTGCACAACAACGACGCAGCTGTCTGGACGAAAAATCGAGCGGTCACTGACACGGATTGTTCTCGAAGGGGAGGAAGGAATGCACAGTCGCCGGCTGTCGGCAAATCRTTTTTTGTGTTTGTTTTTGGTTGATTGGCGAAAGGACCAGGTCCGACTGCGAAAGACCAAAATCCTGCAGTTGGTTGGTCGCAGTGCCAAAACGAGCAGATGGGAAATCCTCCTACTCCTACTCCTAACGCATGCAATCCGTCCTACCCACCAGTACCGGTATTGGACGTTCCGGCGTGCAGTTTGTGTATTCCCAAAATTCTGAAACGTGAATCTTCTGGAAGAAAGTGAAAAAGGTGTGCCGAGAACTACATTGATATTTTCCGAAAAAGAACTTGTTCTGCCGTCTTGGCTCCAGACAGGTACGTGTACTTAGTACGAGTCCGTACYTCAAGGACAGACCTACCGTACTACTGTTTTTATTTTTTAGGGGTGCGAACCTTCGGAAGAAATCGGAACAACGTTGTTCGTTCCTTGACTAGATCGACCCAATGATGGGGGTATCGGGTCAATGCTTTAAGCTTTGGGCCTTACTAAAGTGGGACGCTTCGTACGTAAGTACCATACGATCATAGTATATCAATTTACAACCAAAGTTTCCCACCGCCTGCATCTCACAGATTCTCACTACTAGCAGTAGGATTGTATTGCACAATAACAATACTCTACAAAATCAGGATTGCAATGGAAGAAAGCATGGATTGTGTAGTAGAAGTTGAAATGCTGCTGTGTGTCCATTCCTAGATAATGGTGCAGTTTGCCCTATTTTAGTACTATTTTGTTGCAGTGTTTACTACTAGTACTACTACTCAACAGATTTTGGAGTTTCTGGCTGTTGGACTCCACAAATGACTGTGTATGACTGTGTAAAACACATAGAATTGGAACTGTAGATTAAAAATGAGCAAAAAATATTTTATTTTCACACATAAAAATACACTCCTCCTCTACTATTAACACTTGAACTCTAAAGGTTGCATTGACAATGGTACCAAGCACCTTTTTAAATGAAAATGACCTACTTATGAAAATACCAGCCTCCTAAAATACTTAATCTTGGCTTTCTATTGCTGCAAGTCTTGTACCTAAATGACTGGTAGAACCCAACTGGCGGTACTAGTACTATATTCTTATCATCTTGATATGAAAGAATAGGTCTGTTTCAAGGTATTTTCCTTTATTGCTGCTGGTGGTATGACATAAAAAGACATAACACATTCAAATAGTATAAAACAAGATCAACATAATAAAAAAAGCAGTCACCAAATCCCCCAAATATTGAGCTCAATCCAACCTGAGAGGTGTAAACTTAACCATTATTTAGGAAGAAGGATAGTATTTGCTATATTTTGACTACTACTAGTAGTAGTACTAGTTGTTTGTTATTAACATTTTGATTTGTACTACTACTTGTAGTAAATTCTGGCCACTTCTGGCAGAATGATGCAGGATAAAGAATGTACTACTATTAGTACTAAGAAGTAGTACAGATCCTCTCCTTCAAAAGTACTATCAAAAAAACAATTTACTCCTACTCCTACTACTACTACTACTACTACTACTAGAAGAAAATTAACGGAAACACCAGTACTATGGTGGGTGATCTTGTTGGTGTTGGTTTTTGTAAAGAGCAGAGGTGTTCTTACAAAACAAACTACCAGTGGAATTTTAGTAACTTTTGAAAGCACAAAATAAATCCAACTGCTTGTTGAAGACCACTAGCAGGCTGAAACTAGCAACATATTTCTGAAGATCTTCCTGTAATTTGCAAATAGTTCTTGCAATAGCACCAATATTAATAGGGAATTGCTGAGCTAAGTGTGATCATACTGTACTGTTATTGTTGTTGCCACTTGTTTGAGTTTGATGGATATTTTTTATTCATAGTGGTATTCTTGAGGACAGAGAAATTTGTCAGCCTTGGCGCAATGTTTTGAGAAGATAAAGTGATCACTTTTTTTAGTCTCCTTATCCAATTAACTTTCTCAGCACCTGCTACTACTACTCGGTGAGCAAAATATCTACTACTACTAATGTTGATAATTTCCCACAATCCTCGTACCCTTTTTTAGGTTCACAGACTTGAATATACTACAGCATATGGCTCCATTAAAAAATGAACCAGAGGGAGTCTTGTCCCACTTGTTTGAGTTGATTGAAGTGACATGCAAAGACAACAGATAACTTTCCATTGAAGTTACTACTATATTACTATGGTATGTCATTTGGGGGGTACTAGTACTCATACAATGCAAATTTGCCACAATATAGTACTAGACAAGAAGCTTTCTTTGTTGTCTCCCCATTTATAGTACTAACTGCTGTTGTTCCAGTCATGTCTGTGACAGCAAGATTTCTGTTGGAAAATTTTACTCCCAATTCATTGCAAGAAAGCATCTTTTTACAGTGATAAGAATACTGAGCATGAGCAGCATGCTGAATTACTTTATATTTTCTTCTTGTGCAGCCACCAACCCCTGAGAGAAAATATATACACTACTCTTTCTTGTTCATTCTGGCTGCCTGATGATCTTGCATTTAACTGTTGCAGCAATTACCAAGCTTCCCTTGTAGTCTCTCCTTTTCTTTCTTGATCAATCATAAAGCAGTGAATGCACAGATATTTTAGGTGTTAAAACAAAAGCAGCAACAATCATCTAGTAGCTACTAAATAAAATTTTGTGGTCCCTTTTCTTGAAAGTCAACTTTGTATCATAGTGTATGATATTCTCAGCATAGTAGCTTGTTCCATTACATGATGTGACACCTTTAACAATGTTGTTTGTCTCTCCTTGGATAACAACATGATAAAAACATTTATGTAAAATATGATACAAAATACTTAGTACAATTGGTACTAGCTTATTTTTTGTCATATTTTGGGTAAGGTTTTGTTTAGTATCATCTGTGACATGATGCATATGAACCAGTTGTACCTGGTCCTGAGTTGTGAAGTACAATTGCAAGTGCAATTGCACTTGAATCTGGTAGTACTTTAGGTGGTGTGTAAGCACTATTCTTTGGTATTTTTATGAACCACCATGTAGTAGATCTAAGAAAATTGAAGTGGGATTTGGCAGTTTCATAATATGTGGTAGGTCTGTAAGCTGAATCTGACCTGCTAGATCTCCTACTAAAGTTGTTGAATGAGACTACTAGTACTACTAGTAGTACTAACAACTCTTCCATCATTAGTTCAAAAGAATTACCCGCACACATCTGAAAGATTGTTTGTACCTTGGTCTAGTAGTAGTGGTGGTGGTGGTAAAGTATTTTTGAAGTAATGTTCGCTGACATGGTCATAAACTGATTCCTTGACTGTCAGAAATTTTGTCATCTTCATAGGCTAGAGTACTCCTTTTTCTCACAATTATTGAATTGTTGCATTTCTTGTTTACTGCATTGATGTTGRCTTTATTATGCTTTGTTACTAGTGCAAGTGTCTGCTGCTGATCAGAAGGCAATATTTCTTGTAAAAGTAGTGGTACTAGTAGTTCTCCATTGATACATTATTTGCTCAACATCACTGTCAAAGAAAGTATGAATGTTCTTAGTGCTTTTGCACACACCTACTGTGTAAGAAAAGTTGTCAATCAACCCTTGCTCTTCAGAGAAGACCCAGTTCTAGTTCTAGTAACCTTKTTATAGTTTGCCCTACTCAACCTTGAGAGATTCTCCTCTTTAGTCCCAGAATGGCCAATTACAATAATGGCCAGATATCCAGCAAGTTTTGGAGGAATTACTGGTAGTAGACTGGCTTAATTTTTTGGGAAGAATGACACATAGTAGTAGTAATGATAATTGTGACTTAAATTCTTTCAACAAGTACTAGTAGTGCTACTACTACTAGTATTATTCCTGGGGGAATTGGTTATCCTTAATTTCAGAATGTCTGGTCATAATTATGATTGAGAATTCTTCAAGAAGACTGTTTGGGAGGAATTTCTTTCCCTTAAATGTCAGAATGAATGATCAAAACAATAACAATGACTGGACTTGTTAGTAGCAGTACTACTGAAGTCTTCTTTGGCCAACAATTTAGTAGGTTCTCTTACATTTTGGAATGACCTACTAGTATCATATAGGCTTGGCCACCAAATGTACGATAATATCGGGGATTTTTGGCCATCTTTTTTTGTGTAATGACTACTTTGACTAAAAATTATATATACGGTATCCACATGCTCAGTAAATCGAATTTTGAATCCCACCAAAATAGTTTTGCGCACATKCAAAATAGTTTTGCTTGCACGTGCACGCTGTAGGCCTGGTACAAGTCAAATTTTTAATCCCACGAGTCATTACACGGTAAAAAGATGGCCAAAAATCCCCGCACAGTACAAAAAACAAGTAGGGCAATAAGAGAGGTTCAACTCACTTGAACAGCTGTAACTTTTCGCCCAACAGACGCTCAAGTATGATAAGCGCATGGTTGAAAAGAGAATTCATCGAGCTTTCTAATGGCGTGGGGGAGAACGTACTCAGGGTTACATGGATTTTAGTTCTGTGTGCACAAAAACTGCATTTCATTTTGTTTCTAAAGTACTAAGTCCAGATCAGTGAGAATGATCAAAGTTACTAAATGGCTCTTGTGCACAAGTGAAAAGTGGTAGACGAGTGAACTGAACTCAATTTTGTTTCCCCCCTTAATTTGTGGGCAGTGCCAGTTAATTGGTGATAAAATTACACCTAGAAATATATGTGATTTTTGGTCACCCACTAGTAGTAGTACTGTAACTTTGGCTGACTGGTTCTAAGCCACTATAGTGGTGCATCCTTTGGCTTCCCAATAAGCTGGGGATCTCCAAGTAATTGTATCAAATTGGTCTGGGTGCTTAGTCTGGTGGTGGTCTAAGGTTGTTTTTTGATAAATTCTGGCCCATTTTCTAACCAGCAGCTGGTCTCAAACAAACTGGCCAATTTGGCCATACCAGCTGTTAATGGAGAAACAAGTCCTCCCAGCAGGCCTACAATCATGTAACAACAATAATGGCTGGTGTTCCCAACACTTCTAGTATTAGGAAGCTTTTCCCCACAAAACAGCTGTTCTCAGGCCATCCTGGAGCAGTTCTAAATGCCCTGTTACACTGATTGCAGTCAAAAAGTGACTGAAAACTAGTAGTAGATCTATATAGGATCAATACTAAATACTGGGCTTCAAAATTAACTGCAACTCTACTAGTGGGATAAGTTAACTTTTTCAGATCTCTGCCCAAATCATGCATTTTTGGAATTTTTTTGAGTTTCCATGATTTTCACCTGTGTAGATTGCAGTGCAAATCCTACTGAAAATAAGACTGAAATACCAAAAAGAGTATTAAACAATAACTTTGTATAAAACACCTTTTCTGCTCATTCATTTCTCTCCTTGTAATATCTAAACAAGAAAATATAAAACACTCCAAACCAGAATATAAACTATCACCCAAACCATCCTATTTACCAACATAAACTAATCATATCACCAAAATGGATGATGATGATTATTTTTCTGGTGATGGTTGACAATTGTTCATACAATGGTCGTACTACTAGTGATGCAGACCTATCTGACAACAGTKGTGGTGGCCTGCACCCTTAAAGTATGAGCCTCTCCAAAGATAACAGCAGTGTTTTCAGTGGTGACACTACTAGTACTAACACTTCTTCTCTTGGAACAAGTCTTTCTGCTGCTGATGCCCCTTACTACTACTACTAGTAGTACAATGCTCCCTTTGACAACAAAATTCAAGAACTCCTCCTTGACCTTGACCTCTCTGATTCATCTGATCTGGAGCATGATGAATTGGAACATCTTCTCCAGGACTCCTCAGTTCTCATGAGTCCCACTAAAGTTCTTCCTGCTGGTACACATATGTCTTTAGATGGTGATGAAAAAGCACACAGCAATGACCATGAAGAAGAATGCAACAACAACAATGTCACTCAGCATCAATCTCCTTGTTGTTGTGTCAGGAATGTTGTGCAATTCTTTGAACAAGTACAAGGCACAAGTCCACCCAAGAGGAGAGGACGAGATCAGCTCTGTATAGGAGTACTACTACTAGTAGTAGTAGTACTGCTGGAAGTGTCATTCATGATTATGTCCAACAAGAATGAAGAGTCAGTTGGTGGGTTTCATTTGAGGATGTTGAGACTGGTAACAGTCAAATGCTGCCAACAAAACTTTCATTAGTGTTAGGGTGACACCCAATGGCAAGAAGTTGTTGTTTGATGAAAGAATTCTTCAAGTGATAGCAAATGATCCCACCGGTATAAGTTTCAAGATTGCACTGGAAAGCTCCATATGATGAAGGTTCTAAGCCAGAGTGGATGCCACCAAAGACTTCAAAGAACAGAAAAAATACTACCCTTGTGATTGTGGGCTAAGCCAGAGTGGATGCCACCAAAGTCTTCAAAGTACAGAAAATACCACCCTTGTGATTGTGGGATTTGTTTCTTCTGTGTGAACAAAATTACCAGCACCACTTTTCTTGCTCATGGAAAGGTAACTTCAAAGCCACAGCAGGAAGAAATAGGCAGTGGYAAGTATGAAGGAGTGAAGAGGAACTATTGTGTTGCCTGTGTAGAAGAAGCAAAGCATAGGTATCCTAACTCATCAGTGAGCAGGACGAGATTGAGGAACAACAAGAACAAGAAGAACGACAGGAACAAGAAGTTGCCATGGGGGGGGGGGATTAGTATCATGAAAATGTCAAGGAATGGTTGCAGAAGTTGCAATGTTTCTGCATGTAAAGAGCATTGGAGTAACTTCAACCATCAAGTGTAGTGATGTGTTATAAATGAATGTATTTATACTTGTTAAAATATATTCTTCTGGGGTGCGATAAGCACAGCAGTACTAGTAGTGGTAGCAAAGGAAAAAAAATCCTAAATTTTCCAGGTGGCAACATTTGGCAACACGCGACGGGAAAAAGTTGACACTTGAAAATGATTTTTTCCAGCACCATCCTCAGGGCCCTCCGGAACCAACGCGCGCGCGTCCCCCCTTTGAAATCAAATATCGGGGGTATGATTT